CCCACAGTCTTGCATATTTGGAATGGAGTTAGTCATGAATTAGTAGATGACCCGCTATTGGATTTTTGAGGTCACAAACCCCCCCCCCCAAGGTCAAAGGTCACAGTGACTTTGACTTCAAAAAAGTTTGTCTGCCCAATAACTTTAGATTCCTTTGACCCCCAGTTTCATATTTGGTATGGATGTTGATCATGATTAGTAGATGACCCCTTTTGATTTTGAGGTCACTGGATAAAGGTCAAGGTACTAGGGACTTTGACTTCAAAAAGTTTGTCCACCCATTAACTTAAGATTCCTTTGACCCACAGTCTTCATATTTGGCATGGATGTTGATCATGACTATAAGGTGACCCCTACTGATTTTTTGTGTCACTGGGTCAAAGTCAAGGTCACAGGGACCTTGACAAAAAAAGCTTTTCTTCTCAATTGCTAAAGAATGTCCTGTCCACAATGTATTGATTTTGACATTTTCACATTTGAAGCATGTAGAATACATAACTTAGCAATGCACTGGCTTAGTAACCTCAGATTTGGCAGGGAGGTTGTCCTTGAGCTCTAAATGGCCACTGTTGATTCTGACAAAGTGGTATGCGGGGGTATTCATGCCATGATAGTGGCTGTTCTAGTTTTATCAAAATTTGGAGAGAGAAAAAAAGAGATCCCCCAAAAAGCAATGAGAGTAAAGTTTAAAAGTGAAAATTGAAGACACAGTTTGATTTAGCCTGTTCTGTCTAGTCTAAGAGATAATGGAAAAGTGCAACATCCTCTCATACCCCAGCCTAGCACAGGCTAAAGCAGTTATCATTTTTCAACGCAGTTATCATTTTTCAACACTAAGTATTGCAATCAGTGATCTGTAATGACCAGAAAAATACCAACAACAATAATACTATGACCCTAAATTTGAACATAAAATATAGCATTTTTTTTTTCTGATTTTTACAAGAGAACTTGCTACTATCAATCAGTCTATGTTATACAATGAGTGGTTTATACAATAAGTGGTCAATTAGTAGTCTCTATACAGACATTTTTTATCATTACATAGGGAATTCTAGTTGTTTTTCTATGTTGTGTTACAGAAAGGTCACAAGCGTGGAATGTCTGTGAAGAAGACTAAAAGAAAAAGAGATTATACGAGTATGAAGGCAATAGGAGTGAAAAGTATAGATGAAACATTCAAGGTATAGTCCATATGTGACAAATATTCACTGTAAATTCAGTAATATTCGGGGGACATTAATTTTTCCTGGATTTCTTGAGTAGGCATATCCACGAAGTTTAAACAACAATGAAACATTTTCACATGAACCTTTGTTATTAACAAGTGCAAAATCGACGGATTTATGTGCACACAATATGGGTCAATTGAAAAAATCCAACGAAATTACATGCCACCAAATTTATGTGATTTTACAGTATTTTACTGAAGCCTTGTTACTCTAAAAAAAAAATTATTTATTTAAAAAAAATCAACTTTTATATATTGTTGACTGCCCTAAATCCTTCCCTGTCCTACAGCCAACATCCTTACTGTGTATGTCAAAAAGTCTCAACAAACTTTTATTATCAAAGTTAATTTAATGTATGTGCCAAATTTCTTCAAAATATAGATTGCTTGGATTATTAAAAAATATAGTGTAACAAACTAGCACTGTAATATGCTTAGGGTAACGCATCATGGCCACCTGTTAGTATATATAGAAGGGTTTTTCAAACAAGTTTCTAGCAATCTGTGTCTGCCATCTGATAGTGTGTTAATATAATTTAGTAATGTGGAACTTGTAAAAAGATAACAAGTAAAGATGTCTGGATGGAAATGAAGAGATTAGAGGTATTTCCTACATCTTCACGTTGCCACGGAGACACGGTGATTGACATGGTGTTGTATAGATGAGGTAGAAGATCTATCAGTTGTCAATCGGTTAATAGCTACAATAATTAGATCAATTTTAGTCTAGACTCATTTATCTAAAGAAGTTGGTGTAACGTTGGCAGATTGGGTTGATGTTAGACAAGTTTTCAGTCAATTAAAAACAGTCTTGATTTGCCCTAATAAGTAGATATTTTTCTGCTCATGCTTATATAGGTTTCATATAAATTTTAAGTGTCTTGTATCATATTAATAGAAATTTCAGCTATTTCATATAAATTACAACTTTCTTATATAAGTTTCATATAATTTTCAACCAGCTTATTTAATTTTCTTTAAAATTTCAACTCTGTATAAATTTTACCTATCTTATGTAAAATTAATGTAAATTAAATAAATCTTTAATAAGCTTCATATAAATTTCATCTGAAAAATATTTACTGAAGTATCAAACTAATTGGAATGAAACAAAATCTTAATGATAAGCATTGACTTTTAAAATCATCATCACATTTGTATTTAATCTGAAAACAAGTCCTAACAAGTGAAAACAAGTCTGTGTTATTGAGTAGGACTTAGAACTACTCCATCTTCCTGTAAGTTTAACCTGATTATTGCCATTTTAAAAATATGTCAAGAAGAAAAAAACTTGTTAACTGATAGGTGATCAGGGGAGAACTTAATTAAAGTATTGACATGGTAAAGTGTCTTGTAGCAGGCTGTAAACGATAGACGATTTGTTATAAGAGACCTCGGAGAATTAGTTAGGAGACACTGATTAAGTTATACTGTGTCATAAATTAACTACTTGTAAATTAAAGGAACTTCATTGAGGTACAAATGCCTAAAAACTGAAATATGAATTTCTTACATAGATCAGCTTGGGCACTTTTAGCAGACCCATATGCAAAAGATGATTAAAAAAATATATATTTAGATATACATGTAAATTGAACACTGCGTTTTTGTGCTATTCTTAGTCTGGTTTGAGAGAAAACCATAGCAATTTTAAGATTTGGGTAATTTTTCACAGTAACAATGATTATTCTGGAAAAATGGAGTGAGCAAATGAGTTATTGGTCTAGACTTTCATCAAATGGAACATCAATCTTGAAGAATTATTTTTAGTCCTGTTATGTCAAAAAACCTCAGTGGAGTCTCTTTTAACACATTAATATACCCGCGCACAACAAAGTTGTAAGGAGGTGGGGGGGGGGTATACTGGAATCGATTTGTCCATCCGGTTGTCAGGCCGTCCATCGGTTTTTCCTTGTCCGCTCAATAATTTAAGATTCCTTTGACCCACAGTCTTCATATTTGGTATTTAGATTGGTCATGACTAGTAGATGATCCCTATTGACTTTGAGGTAAAGGTCAAGGTCACAGGGGCCTTGACTAAAAAAATCTTGTCAGCCCAATAACTTATGATTTCTTTGACCCACAGTCTTCTTTTTTAGTTTGACTATACGAAGTATATGGAGAGCTGTCCTCGCCCTGGCGTCAGCGTCCACATTTCAGATTTAAGTTTTGGTGCAGTAAAATATTTTTCACTATAACTTTGTCATTTCTTAAGGTATCAATATCAAACCTGAAACATGTGTTCCTTATCATCAACCACATCTTATGTGACAAGGTTCATAACTCTAGCTCCAATATTTTAAGATTTATCTCCCCTTTAACTTAGAATTTTCCTTAAAAAATACTTTTTTTTACTGTTACTTCTTTATTTCTTAAGGGATCAACCTCATACTTCAAATATATGTACCTTATCATCATCCCCATCTTATGTAACAAGGTTTGTAACTCTAGCACCAATATTTTCAGATTTATCTCCCCTTGAGCTTAGAATTTTTCTCAAAAAATACTATTTTTTTACTGTTTCATCTTTATTTCTAAAGGGATCAACCTCATACTTCAAATATATGTACCTTATCATCATCCCCATCTTACATGACAAGGTTCATAACTCTAGCACCAATATTTTTAGATTTATCTCCCCTTGAGCTTAGAATTTTTCTCAAAAAATACTATTTTTTTACTGTTACATCTTTATTTCCAAAGGGATCAACCTCATACTTCAAATATATGTACCTTATTATCATCCCCATCTTACGTGACAAGGTTCATAACTCTAGCACCAATATTGCAAGAATTATCTCCCCATAAACTTAGTTTTTTACTAGAAAAATGTTATTTTTTACTATATCTTTTTTAGTTTTAAAGGTATCTACCTCAAGCTTCAAATACTTATTCTTATCATCAATTACATTTTATGTGACAATGTTCATAACTTTTGAAGCAATATTTACAGATTTATCTCTCTTTGAACTTAGGAGGGGCCTTGACTTCAAAAAGTTTATCCACCCAATAACTTAAAAATCCTTTGAACCCCAATCCACCCAATAACTTAAGAATCCTTTGAACCACAGTCTTCATATTTGGCATAGAGTTTGATCATGATCATTAGGTGAATCCTGTTGTTTTTGAGGTCACTAGGTCAAAGTCACAGGGGCCTTGACTAAAAAAAGCTTATCGCTCAGTTGCTTAAGAATGCTTTGGTCAACAGTCCTCATCTTTGTTATTGAGGTTGTTTATGACTAGTAGATGACCCCCTATTGATTTTTTAGGTGACTGTGTCAAGCATCCAGGTCACAGGTATTTTTACTGCTGCTCAAATTCTTAAGAATGACTGTCCGCAGTGTATTGATTTTGACATTTTCACATCTGAAGTATGTAGAATACATAACTTAATAACATAGCAATGCACTGGCTTAGTGACCTCAGATGTGGCAGGGAGGTTGTCCTTAAGCTCTAAATAGCCACTGTTGATTCTGACAAAGTGGTATGTGGGGGTATTCACGCCATGACAATGGCAGTTCTAGTTATTGCTCAGAAATGAATAAATATTTACACGTACTTTGTTAGGAAGGTGAAATATTAGTTTTATTACTTTTTATACCCCCAAAAATGAAGTTTGGGGGGTATATAGGAGTCACCCGTTGGTCGGGCGGTCGGTCGGTCGGTCCAGACGTCCGTTGCATTTTCCTTGTCCGGACCATAACTTGAAGACTAATGGTTGGAATTCAATATAACTACATACAATGGTCAAGCACATTGAGAGGAAGTGCAGTGCACAAGAACCATAACTCTATCTTGACTAATTACAGAGTTAATGCCCTTTGTTACTTTTCCTTGTCCGGGGCATAACTTGAAAATTACTGGTTGGAATTCAAAACAACTTCATACAATTGTCAAACACAGTAAGGGGAAGTGCAGTGCATAAGAACCATAACTCTGTCTAAAGTAATTACAGAGTTATTGCCCTTTGTTACTTTTCCATTGCTTTCTTTTGTCCGGAGTATAACTTGAAGACTAATTGTTGGAATTCATTATAACTTCATACAATGGTCAAGCACATTGAGAGGAAGTGCAGTGCACAAGAACCATAACTCCATCTTGACTAATTACAGAGTTACTGCCCTTTGTTACTTTTCCATTGCTTTCTTTTGTCCGGACCATAACTTGAAGACTAATGGTTGGAATTCAATATAACTTCATACAATGGTCAAGCACATTGAGAGGAAGTGCAGTGCACAAGAACCATAACTCCATCTTGACAAATTACAGAGTTATTGCCCTTTGTTACTTTTCCTTGTCCAGAGCATAACTTGAAAACTACTGTTTAGAATTCAATACAACTTCATACAGATGTCAAGAACATTAAAAGGAAGTGCAGTGCATAAGAGCCATAACTCCATTTTGACAAAATACAGAGTTACTGCCCTTTGATACTTTTCCTTGTCTGGAGCATAACTTAAAACATACTGGTTGAAATTCAAAACAACTTCATACAATGGTCAAGCACAAAAAGAGGAAGTGCAGTGCACAAGAACTATAACTCCATCTTCAGTATTTATAGAGTAATTGCCCTTTGTTCCTTTTCTTTGTCTTTCTGGACTTATTACAGAGTAATTCAATAAAACTTCATCAATGGCCAACCACATTGAAAGGAAATGCAATATACAAGAACCACAACTATCTTTAATTGCCCACAACCATAACTCTATATTTCAATTCTTTTACAAGATATTCTGTTACTAGTAACATCCTCATTTCCGAAGCAGTCTTGTGGGGGTATTAATCACATTTAGTGATAGTTCTAGTTATTAATGGTTCTAGAGCATGTTAGATGCTTGTTTACTGAATAAAATAGTGCTAAATGTAAAATAATGTGTCATGAAGGCAATAAAATGTGAACAAAACAGTATTTTGACTTCTATACAAAATACTTAAACGTTTTAAATGTACTAATTGCTAAAAAGCAACAGAAGGAGAATATAGGTCAGGTAATTGGCCATTTAATAACTTGTTGAAAACTATAAAAGAATACCAGAAATAAAAAAGATTTTGAGAAAGAGAATTAAAGTATTTCCAGGACATAATGGACCTTTAACACTGTGAAATAATGATGGTCTTTAGGGGGCATTCTGGGCATTCCTTATTATAACAACAAGAGTTATGCAGCAATTAGTTGTATGCTTATTTATAGACAGTGAAAGCTCTATGTCTGATGTATTTTTCTAGCTTACCACAACATAGATCATTATTATTATTATGAGCAGTGTAAGCTATTGTAATGATTTGAACCATGGTAACCATGTTATGTATGGAATTATTATCCACTGTAAAACTGTATCTCATGTAAAATCGGCTCACCTAGCTGGAAATGAGTGAAATAGATCTTCCAAGAAATAACAAATTATCATATATCTGAGAAATGTATAATAATTCACATCAAGGTGAAATTTGAAATGTTTTATTCAAAATATAACAGTATATGCTATTTTTATCATCAAACTTTACCTTTTCTACTAAATGTTTCTGGGGGAGTATGCGGCTGATTGGTTATAGTCGTTGATTTCAAACCTCTTGCCTCTCACCGCTGTAGGTTTGAGCCTTGCAAGCCGATTCTGTCAATTCTTTTGTGAGAAAGCTTTTCAGCTAGCTTACACAATGTAAATGGTTATACTCGGGTACCTGTTTGTTCCTGACATAATGCACAAAGGGGCATCTGAGGTCTTCCTCCACCAGTAAAGCTAGAACTTCGCCATATGACATATACTGTGTTGGTGCGCCATACAACCAACTCAAACAAATGTTACTAGTAATGAGGTTGGAGAATTGTTATCATATTTTGAGAAGTTAACTGTTATTTTTTGTGAAAACTGGGCTAGGTTAAAGCTGTTTACTTTTAAACAGGAAATATTTCTTTCTATTTTGAGTTGTTTATTAATATATGTATTCATAAATATTAACATGAATCTGGAGTCATGCTGCGAAAAGCATTGCATATAAGTGGGAGGAGAAAAATAATGCACGGTTATTGGATCTCTTTTCAATATTTTACCTGAACTGTAATAACTTTTGTCATGTTTGGTTATAACTGGCATATTATGTGACAATAAGCTCGCTGTTTTGTTGTTTTTTAATTTACTATATCCACATGATCAACAATGCCAAAGCTTTTATATTAGAAATATGTATGAGAAAAATGCAGTTTATGTGTATGAGTGGGTGTTTTAAATAACATGAAAAACTATCCTGATTATCAAACAAGGAAGATTTGATTTATTTGCTCAATTTATAGCTCAACTATTTGAAGAATAGGGAGAGCTATTATACTCAGCCAGGCATCAGGGTAGCTTTACACTTTTCTCAAGTTTTTATGCCCCCATTTCGAAGAAAAGGGGGTATATTGCTTTGCACTTGTCGGTCCGTCGGTCCGTCGGTCTGTCGGTCCGTCGGTCCGTAGACCAAATGGTTTCCGAGTGATAACTAAAGAACCCTTAGGCCTAGGAACTTCAAACTTGGTATGGTGATTTGTCATGACAAGTAGATGACCCCTATTGATTTTGGGGTCAAGGGGTCAAAGGTCAAGGTCACATTGACCTTGTAAGCAAAAACGGTTTCCGATCAATAACTAAAAGAACCTTAAGGCCTAGGAACTTCAAACTTGGGTATGGTGATTTTGTCATGATCAGTAGATGACCCCTATTGACTTTGGGGTCAAGGGGTCAAAGGTCAAGGTCACACATTGACCTTGTAAGCAAAAAAACGGTTTCCGATCAATAACTAAAGAACCTTAAGGCCTAGGAACTTCAAACTTGGTATGGTGATTGGTCATGATCAGTAGATGACCCCTATTGATTTTGGGGTCAAAGGTCAAGGTCACATTGACCTCTTGGGTAAAAACGGTTTCCGATCAATAACAAAAGAACCCTAGGCCTAGGAACTTCAAACTTGGTATGGTGATTGTTATGACCAGCAGATGACCCCTATTTATTTTTGGGTTAAGTGGTCAAAGGTCAAGGTCACATTGACCTTGTAGGTAAAAACGGTTTCCGATCAATAACAAAAGAACCCTTAGGCCTAGGGACTTCAAACTTTGATATGGTGATTGGTCATGATCAGTAGATGACCCCTATTGATTTTGGGTTAAGGGGTCAAAGGTCAAGGTCACATTGACCTTGTAGGTAAAACGGTTTCCCGATCAATAACGAAGAAAGAACCCTTAGGCCTAGGGACTTCAAACTTGATATGGTTATTGGTCATGATCAGTAGATGACCCCTATTGATTTTGGGGTTCAAGGGGTCAAAGGTCAAGGTCACATTGACCTCTTAGGTAAAAATGGTTTCCCGATCAATAACTAAGGACCCTTAGGCCTAGGAACTTCAAACTTGGTATGGTGACTGGTCATGATCAGTAGATTGACCCCTTTTGATTTTGGGGTCAAGGGGTCAAAGTCAAGGTCACATTGACCTCTTAGGTAAAAGCAGTTTCCGATCAATAACTAAAGAACCCTTAGGCCTAGGAACTTCAAACTTGGTATGGTGATTGGTCATGACCAGCAGATGACCCCTACTGATTTTGGGGTTAAGGGGTCAAAGGGGCAAGGTCACATTGACGTTGTAGGTAAAAATGCTTTCCGATCAATAACTTAAGAACCCTTATGCCTAGGAACTTCAAACTTGGTATGGTGATTGGTCATGACCAGCAGATGACCTATTGTTTTTAGGGTCAAAGGTCATGTAACATTGACCTTGTAGGTAAAAACGGTTTTCCGATCAAATTAACTTAAAACGCTTAGGCCTAGGAACTTAAACTTTTGTATGATGATTGGTGGTGACCAGCAGATGACCCTATTGAGTTTTGGGTCAAGGGGTCAAAGGTCAAGGTCACATCGACCTTGTAAGTTAAAACGGTTTCTGATCAATAACTTAAGAACGCTTAGGCCTAGGAACTTCAAACTTGGTATGGTGATTTTTCCATGACCAGCAGATTACCCCTTTCGATTTTGGGATCAAAGGGTCAAAGGTCAAGGTCACATTGACCTTGTAAGTAAAAACGGTTTCTGACCAATAACGAAAGAACGCTTCGGCCTAGGAACTTCAAAACTTGGCATAGTGATTGGTCATGATCAGTAGATGACCCCTATTGATTTTTGGGGTCAAAGGTCAAGGTCACATTGACCTTGTATGTTAAAACGGTTTCGGATCAATAATAAAAAAACCCTTAGGCCTAGGAACTTCAAACTTGGCATGGTGATTAGTCATGACCAGCAAATGACCCCTATTGATTTTGGGGTCAAGGGGTCAAAGGTCAAGGTCACATTGACCTTGTAAGTAAAAACGGTTTCTGATCAATTAACTAAAAACACTTAGGCCTAGGAACTTCAAACTTTGTATGATGATTGGTCTTGACCAGCTGATGACCCCTATTGAGTTTGGGGTCAAGGGGTCAAAGGTCAAGGTCATGACCAGTAGATACTTGATAACCCTTATTAATTGTTTGATCACTGGGTCAGAAGTCATGCATAATTACCTTATCACATGAATAATTGGCTGCTGATAGGGGGCATACATGTTTTACAAACATATCTTGTTTATGTGCAAGTTGTTTTATTGTTATGTTCAATATTTGATATTTAGGTCACAGAGACCTTGGCATTTGACAAAAAACAAACCAAACCAAATAATCTAAAATAAACAAAAAATAAACAGTGTTTATTTAATTCATACATTTCAGGTTGCTATACAGCCTCTGAGGGATGGAACAGATCTTAGAGACAATTTCAGACGGGTTGCAATTTCAAAGGGGACTTTTTGGGTTTTTCGCCCATTTCCCCTATTAAAAAAGTGTATACGGTCTGGGAACCAGAGTTTCTAACGATCGACCGCCCTCCTTGATCTTCCCCCGTGGGTGGAGAGGGAGGTCAAGTTTAAAGGTTTCGCTGTATTTTGGGGGGTCAATTTAGCGAGGTATTAGATTGGAAATGTGTTTAACCTAAATATGAAACTTGGCAGTCATCCAAAAGCATACCCATTCTGTACGTTTATTAACAGTTTTATGATATTTGAACCTAATTGAAAAATTGAAAATTTGTATGGGAAGGGATATTTCGGTAATTCATACCTACTTTATATTCATTTGTTAACAGAAGAGGACTACATTGGGGAAATTAGATAATGAGGGTGTTAATTTTAGGCCCCAGATTGACTGATCTTAAATATGTGTAAGAAATGGAAAAACATATTAATCCTTGTTTTCTTGTAATTATTTAAGGGAGAACACATGACCTTGGCCAGTGTTACTTTATCTAACCAAATATATAGTTGTATTTACATGCTAATAACATTTTATTGTAGGGTGAGCTTTTGTGATCGCTTTTCGTCCGGCGTCCGTCCGTCCGTCAGGCGTCCGTCCGTAAACTTTTACTTTAAATGACATCTCCTCATAAACCACTAAGCCAATTTCATCCAAACTTCACAGGAATGCTCTTTTGGTGGTCACCTTTAAAAATTGTTCAAAGAATTTAATTCCATGCAGAACTCTGGTTGCCATGGCAACCAAAAGAAAAAAATTTAAATATCTTCTTTTAAAAAACCCAAAGAGCTAGAGCTTAGATATTTGGCATGAAACATCTTCTAGTGAGTGTCTACCAAGTTTGTTCAAATAAAAGCCCTGGGGTCAAAATTGGCCCTGCCCCAGGGGGTCATTGATTTTCCCTATATGCATATAGTAAAAACTTAAAAAATCTTCTTTGAAAAAACCCATATAGCTAGAGTTTAGATATTAAGCATGAAACATCTTCTAGTGAGTGTCTACAAAGTTTGTTCAAATAAAAGCCCTGGGGTCAAAATTGGCCCCGCCCCAGGGGGTCATTGATTTTCCCTATATGCATATAGCAAAAACTTAAAAAACCTTCTTTGAAAAAACCCAAATAGCTAGAGTTTAGATATTAAGCATGAAACATCTTCTAGTGAGTGTCTACCAAGTTTGTTCAAATAAAAGCCCTGGGGTCAAAATTGGCCCCGCCCCGGGGGTCATTGATTTTTCTTATATGTGTATAGCAAAAACTTAAAAAATCTTCTTTGAAAAAACCCATATAGCTAGAGTTTAGATATTAAGCATTAAACATCTTCTAGTGAGTGTCTACAAATGTTGTTCAAATAAAAGTCCTAGAGTCAAAATTGGCCCCGTCCCAGGGGGTCATTGATTTTCCCTATATGCATATAGGAAAAAACTTAAAAATCTTCTTTTAAAGAACCCAAAGAGCTAGAGCTAAGATATTTAGCATGAAACCTGTTCTAATGGGTGTCTACAAAGTTTGTTCAAATAAAAGCTCTGGAGTCAAAATTGGCCCCGCCCCGGGGGTCATTGATTTTCCTTATATGTGTATAGCAAAAACTTAAAAAACCTGCTTTGAAAAATCCCAAATAGCTAGAGTTTAGATGTTAAGCATGAAACATCTTCTAGTGAGTGTCTACCAAGTTTGTTCAAATAAAAGCCCTGGGGTCAAAATTGGCCCCGCCCCAGGGGGTCATTGATTTTCCCTATATGCATATAGTAAAAACTTAAAAAATCTTCTTTTAAAGAACCCAAAGAGCTAGAGCTATGATATTTAGCATGAAACATGTTCTAATGGGTGTATACAAAGTTTGTTCAAATAAAAGCCCTTGGGTCAAAATTGGCCCCGCCCCGGGGGTCATTGATTTTCCTTATATGTGTTTGGCAAAAACTTAAAAATCTTCTTTGAAAAAACCCAAATAGCTAGAGTTTAGATATTAAGAATGAAACATCTTCTAGTAAGTGTCTACAAAGTTTGTTCAAATAAAAGCCCTGGGGTTAAAACAGGCCCCGCCCCAGAGGTGTCATTGTTTTTAACTATATGTGTATAGTAAAAAACTTAAAAAATCTTCTTTTAAAAAACCCAATGAGCTAGAGGTTAGATTTTAAGCAGGAAACACCTTTTTTGTTGGTGTCTACCAAGTTTGTCCAAATAAAAGCCCTTGGGTTTAAATTGGCCCTGCCAAAAAGGGACGGGGGGGGGGGGGGGATGTGGGGGGGGGGGAGGTCATTGTTTTTCATTATATGTGTGTAGTAAAAACTTAACATCATGAAACATCTTCTAATGGGTGTCTTCCAAGTTTGCTCAAATAAAAGCCCCGGGGTTTAAACTGGCCCCGCTCCGGGGGCCTATATACAGGTGAGCGACCTCAGGGCCATCATGGCATGATGGCCCTCTTGTTTAAGTGACAGAATTAGTTTGCTGTATAATCTATTTTACTACAAATTTTTAGCCATATATAATTTTATAAATATACATGTATATGTTTCTTTCAGTACCCCAAACTCGAAGCAGATGGGAATCTACCAGAAATCCTTAAGAAGGCATTACTGGCATTTGACACTGTATGTTGTTAAATTTTCATTAAAGATATATATTTAACATATTGGCATTATTGGCATCATTAAACTGTTAACTTGAAATTTCTTTAGTTGAATAGAAACGCTAATAGTTAAGTTTTTATTGATATACAGATAGCTAATGTAAGGTTGGTGGTTCTTCTTAGGTACCTGAGTATGTGCCTGAAATAATGGAGGGAGGAACACCTGAGGTCTCTCATCCACCAGTAAAATTTGACAGTCGCCATCCATCAGTGTGACTTATAACTGCACCATATAAATAGATATTTACATGCAAATAACATTTTTATTTAGGAAATGTGTCCAAATTATTGGCGTCTATGCATCTTTTGGCTCCAGCAGGTGAGGTTATATGACCCCTGTTGTTACTCTTAAGTTTGCAACACCAGAGGTTTGCCAAAATTATCTTTCCTGTTTCGGGGCTATATGACCTTAATTGAAGGTGAATGATATACATTTAATTGCAGCCATTAATTTTTCCCACTGAAAATTGGAATGAAATCTCATACTATCTATAAATGCCTGTTTTTTACTGTAAGCTATTTATAGAAGGTTTCTAGTTATATCATATACATGCCTGATGATGATTTTTTGTTGTTTTTATTTTTGGGGTTGTAAGTCTCATCAACCCTCTGTGCATTATTTCAAGCAAAAGTGGGATTTAAACTCACTGCTGTTAGTGGAAAGTGGGTTAATGTCAAAGCTTTACTTCTTAACGAAACTTGAAATTATCCAACAAAAAGCATTATCTGCTCTACATTTCGTGCTCTTACCAATTTTAATTTCAGCTGTTCCTTAGAATTGTGTAAAGTTTATTAGCTATCAAATTGCACACGTTGCATGTAGAAAATTACACTTGTTTCATTATTAGGAAGTTTCACGGAAATTTTATGTATGGTTTGATTTTTCAGATGGTGAATGAATGTAGAGCTTTGATAGAACATGCTGGCCATGTCTATGAAAGGGTATGTTATATATATATTATATTGTATATATTTAGTTAAAATATTTTTTACAGGTTAAATGGCCTTATATAAATGCTTGTATTGCAAACAACCATTTATATATGGCCATATAACCTGTCAGGAATCTTTACAACAAATTTATAATCCAGCAAACTTCCTTTTATAAGAGAAATAAGATTTCTTCATAAATCAACAGCAGCAGTGTATATAAAACTATATTAATGTCACAATTAAACAGTGCAAAATAATGTTACAAACATGCAGTATTATAATGTCTCATTTAAACTACTTTAAGTCTGTCTTTATTATCATTTTATTTCTTTATATAAAAAAAAAGATTCATATGTGTCATGTCAGTACCTATACATCAATATTTGTCATCCTGGGGTCACTGGTTTTGTTCTTGGGGCAAGGCGAAGTTTCTCCATGACAATTGGTCTCTCTAATGGTCATTTTGCTCTCACTTCTGATTCAGGAAAGTATGTAGGATTAGTAGTTGGTCACTTGCAGAGAAATTGACATTTACTGGTTAGTTATCAAGGAAAGCTGGTTCGGTGTTCAAACCATCGAAATGTTACCATGCATATGTTGAAATCAGCATAAAACATGCAAAATAACCTGAACAAACACATGCTACCAATACTGATTTGCCCATGAATCAAGACTTGTGATTGGTTTGAATAAGCTTGAAACTTTCATTGATTTCATACACAAATTTTCAAAAAATAAAGTTACCTAGAAAATTGATACATTTTGATGCTATCAAATGCCTTATTTGCTAATTATTATGTCTGTCTTATTGAAATTCTTTTAGTAAATATAAGCGAAGTTTCATGCATGTGGCACTCTCACTGATCAATATAATATTTTCAGACATCTGTTAAAAGATCAATTTTATATTTTCAGTTACTACAAAGCCAGAGAGCAGGTCTTGAATGGCATGAGGAATTAGAGAGTACAAGCCTACAAGCTGGTCTTAAAGGCAAAAAATTAACAAAGGTATGAGCTCTTTAGAAAGATTTATTAGTTTTCTGTCTGTTCCTTCTTTGTTAAATTGATTTGATAGCACACAAAAGGTAGCAGAAGTGGAAAGATGATTAATATGTCTTTTGTTTTGTAAGATCAAGAGTTATTTCCCATATTCAGAGTCAATATTCTATATAATATAACTGATAAAAAGTGAAAAAGCAATATAAACAACTGATATATGTGAATTGTCAAATTAATGTAATGCTTAATCTGCTATATTTTTATAATGGATCTGTCCAGCTTTGAATTTGAAACAGTCCATTCAAAGTTCAAGGGATTTCAATATCAAAATACAAAATGATCTACCAACAGTATAGAGCCTGGTCAGACGGCACGGATGTGCAGGCTGGCCTGGCTCTATACTGGGGCAAAGGCTTATCATTTTTGGTTCCAACAGGTTAAGTGTTAAGAGGTTTTATGTTATATTTTCAGGCAATAGAGAATTTTGCGTGGAATATACGTGTTTTACAGGGACAAGCAGATCTGTTACTACAAGCCAAAAAGGAGTGTCAGGAATATATAAGACAGGTTAACTTATTCATATATGTACGAGGGTTGTCTCAAAAGTTTGTGACAAATTTTATAGACAGTTCATTTTTAACGCAAATAGCTAATAATTCACACATATAACCGTTAAGTTTATTATTTAACATTACAACAAATCATTTACAAAATATTTACTCTAGTTACTTATAAATTTTCAGTATTAACAACATTGGTTTGAGTTGCTGGCGCACGTCAATTAATTTGCAATTTGTTATGAATTGGCTAAAATTAATTACGTATATTTCAAATATCTGATAGTGTGTCTGCACAATGTCACATTGACTTCCACTGCTGCTATGTTTAAATCATCTCAGAAAATTTTAGTTAAATAACTTAAGAAACGAACAAGTTACGGGTAAATGAAAATATCTCATAAAAAATAGGAAAGTTAAAATGACGACGTTCGAAGAATTTGCGGCGCAGTGAATAAGTCACTCAGGTTTCGTGATTATTTCGAGATGACACATGTTACGATTTTCAACAAATATACCAAATAGAACAGTTAAGCAATATATCCTGAGCATTTGTTTACTAAAGGCATGAATGGAACCAGAGTTCTGCACTTCAAAAAGCAGAAATAAGGAAAACACAAATAGGATAACAGATCTCCCTTGCCTATTTCCTACAGCTAAAAGCAGGTGCACATGCGTATAGCAAAATTAATGTATGCCATCCAAACATTCAACAGACATTAACAACCACATGATTTTAGTCTGTAATTGTCGATTTATGGGTAAAGCTGCACCATAATTGTGTTGAAAGCCATTGAGAGTATTTGAGAAAGGCGCCTAATGTAGATTTAACGCCGTCTTTGACGTGCGCCGCGACTCAGATAGTTGCCATGGTATTTACGGCATATTTTTGTTGTTTGTAAATATTTTTCTATGTAAATTTGCGAAAATGTTTCAATTATATGGGTTTATAACATATTAAAATATCAGATGCGTACCTACTTTATTTAGCTTTCTTGTCACAAAATATTGGGACAACCCACGTATTTGTAATTATCTGAACCTATAGCCTCTATTTATTGGACCTTCTTAGCCATTCTGATAAGGTCCTAGGCCTTTAAGGAATTGCCTTGAAATGCTGTGTGGCTTTAAATCCTATCAGAGACTGGATTTTTTTCAGGAAATGAAGCTTCTTAAGAACCTGATTCTATGTGTTTTAATGCACAAGGAATGCCCAAGGTCTTCCTCCACCAGTTGAGGGTTCAAAGGTTACCATATGACCTGTACCTGTAATTTGTGACTCAAAACCCAACAAACAAACAAATCTTTTATCCCATGTTCTGTTTTTCATGGACATTTTTCAGGTTGCTAGGCAGTGTAATAGATTAGTGCGTAATGAAATAAGTGGTCTACTTTTTTTGACATTTAACAAGTTACAAATTAATTTTTCAACATTACTTTTGTATTATTGTGCACATAAGAAATACATTAATTTTTAAGAAGTGTATCTTATAAAACAAACATGCAATAATTTCTGTGTTACATTTTAGATCTCTGAAGCTGCAGTGACTCTGGGCCTAGCAAAGAATGCCAATACAATATGCAATAATAACCTCACGAATTGATCTTTATGCCTCAAATTAAAAGGTAAGTTACATGTTCATTACACTAGTTTTATAGTTTTAATGATAAAGGGAGATAAAAGTGTGAGACTTAGTCCTCACAATTTAAGATGCATACAGCTTCTAGAACTTTTCTTTAATTAATAAATAATAGGAATCACAAAAAATCAGGAGTAGATGAGTAGAACCTTAAAGCACTAAAGGACAACAGAACTGTTCTAATATTTACAAGTTTTTTGTAATTGAAGCAGTTTGTTATTTTCCTTTAGTTACGCTATGACCAGGGCCTTGTTTGTTATTTTCACTTCAGTTATCCAATGACCAGGTCCTTGTTGTTTGCTATTTTCACTTCAATTATCCAATGACCAGGGCCTTGTTTGTTATTTTCATTTTGGTTATTCTATGACCAGGGCCTTAATGTGTGTTATGTTCACTTTAGTTGTGCTCTGACCAGGGCCTTGTTGTTCGCTATTTTCACTTCAGTTATCATATGATCAGGGCCTTGTTATTTTTGTTTATTTTCAGAGATTATCGAAGCTACCATGACATAAGATGAAGTGCCATTGATGTTGAATCATTGTACAGCAACATTCATATATCATCAAAGTGTCCTGTCATTTGTCGTATAATATATTCTAGGATAACGATTACTCATATAGATGTCAACATGTTCATGATATATTGTGTAACAAATATTGTTATAGAATTAAGTAGAGTTGTCGTGCTTAAATACTGGCTCGCATGAAATTTAACAAAACCATTGTATTCTTATACATGTATGAACCAAATCCACATTTGTTCATTATAATCATAGACGAAATAGAAAGAATCAAGAGTTTTAACATATGATCATAGAAGAAATGAATGGAAAATGATCATAGATTACCAAAATTTCATATGGTCCTTTGGTAAAATCTTTTAAATGAATAAGGTTAATGTCTGTTTATATATTTTTCTGGATAAAAGTGACAGAATGTACATGTTCAACAGATATATACCTTAAAAAACGCAATAGGTTAAATGTGTTCACAGATTTTAGAGAAATCATACTGGTTTTTGTTATGAATATGTACAAAATTCATCTAAGGGAAGAAATCCTTGGGTAAAACTAAATCCTATGGTAGTCGCATTTGTTGTCCTTACAAGAAATTTTTTTTATTTACAAAAAGATTCTCTGATTGTCAGTGCGAGCATCTTGAAACTTTCTCAATGTTTACAATATTCTTTTGACATTAATTTTAGGATTTTGTTTTATTTAACTAAACACCCCAACACCCCCTTACCCCTACTAACCATAAACTAATAACCATTTTCTGTATAAGATGAAACTAAATACAGTAACTGTATATGAATCTTGTAAACTTATAACAGTTTCTGTACTTTATGAATTTCATAAAACCATAAAGCAAGATTATTTACCATATACAGTTGTCATAAAACCATAAACATTTAACTTTTACTGTACTAGATATATAAATTTATGATGAATTCATATACCAAATTCATTTGTTGTTATTGTCATAAAACCATAAACCTATAACATTTTCTGTACTAGATGAATGTCATAAAACCATAAACGAAAACATTCACTGTGTATATATAGATTGTATATGATTTGTCATTAAACCATTAACATAAATCATTTAATGTATACAATTGTCATAAAACCATAAACCAGGTTCATTTATTGTACATATATAAATGTTTTAAAACCATAAACAATTAGCAATTTTTATGTAGGTTCATTTTAAAAAACCAGTTGTCATTTTTAACTAGGAATATGTTATTATATATAAATATAGATCGTAAAATTATACATGTTGTTAAATTTATGAAATATTGTACATAATAAAGTTATGTTTGATAAGTATTGTCTGTTAATATTTTGTGCAATTAATTAGTGATATAAACTTATAAATAAATGCATCTCTTGTTTAGTAGGGCAATGAAATAAAGCTTCATGTATATCTTCTTGTATACCTTTTTGTACCTATTGTAATATTTTGGTAAAGATCTTTGAAGTTTCCTTGACGTGTTCTCACATGAAAAAAAACTCATTTATATATTTGTTAATATAGGGATATAATAAGATGAAGTGATTTCTTTCAATAATACATCAGCATTGTTTTGAGGTGGTGTATGGAGACAATAAAAAGTCTCCCGCCCTCTCCCCCACACCCCATACACAATAAAATTAGTCAAAGATGTTATATTTTTGATTTTGAAGATTACTCAGCACAACATTGTGTTTATGATACTTTTATTTGTTTCACTAATTATTTATAAACACCTGCAAGTAATGAATGTTGTCTGTTTGATTTTGTAGTCATTATTATTGTGAAACCTTACTATAAAGGCCACCTCCTTGTGATAAATAAGAGATGTTTGTAGAAAGGAGGACTTTATACACAGGTATCAAATTTTATCTTACAGATACTTTTTATAAGTTAACCATGTTTTGTTTTATTTTGTAGTCTTACATATTATGAAACATATTAAAGCTGCATGCCTCCAGGTAGCCAAATTTTTTTAAAGAAAATCAAACTTGAGAAAAATGTACTTAAATATTTACAAAAGTAAAGATATTCAAGATTCAAGTAATAATTTACATGTTTTGTGCGATGAAAGACTGATTTTGCAGTATTTATCACCATATTTCTACAGTGTGACTATCACAAAAACGGCATTTTTTTTGCATATTTTGACAACATTTTGGTAATTTAAATTGTAAGTTCCATTTGCAATGTGTAAATTTTATTTTTGTTCACTTTACAATGTTTTACTTTTAAATACATTTTCAAGAAAATTGGCATGAATCTGGAGGCCTGCTGCTTTAAAATAGATCACCTGTTATTGATTTATTAGCAAATTTTTGTTTGCAGGAGGGTTTATCTAATTGTGAAATCTCTAATAACTAGTAATATAAGAAGTTGTCTGGAATATTACATTGGTTATAAATTAAGAGGTGCTTTTTACCAGTACAGTTCCTGTGAAATGAACATTACTGTTTGGTTCTGATATCAATTATTGTACCATATTATGTCCCTATTTTTATTTAACCTTAAAGGAACTCCACTGAGGTCCAAAATCCTAGAAACATTTTACATAGATCAGCTGGGATGCATAGAACGGAAAGATTTGCAAAAGATAATAAAGAAATATTCTGATAAATAAATTGAAAATCATATTTTTGTGCTATTCTTAGGACAATTTCGGTGAAAAAGCGTTAAATTTTGGGTCATTTTTCACAATTAGAATAATTATTCGGGAAAAAAGAAGTGAGCGAATGATCTGAAATTTTGCACACATTTTGGTCTCAAATAAAATATTACCTTAAGAAATTTTTTTCTGAGCTGTCATGTAAACAACCTCAGTGGAGTCCCTTTAATAACATGCCCTATCTCAATTTTCTAAAACAAGGATGACTTGAGCTCAATTGAAAAACCAAATGCATTACTTATATTGTTTATAATTTTATTTACTTTTTAATAATACATATATCTATATACCAATTAGTCATATTGTAACAATTTATTTTAGCCATTTTTTTGTATTTTTTTTTACTTCAGCATTTGTAACCAATTTAAAAATGAAGAAAAAAAAGCTAACAATAAAAGCTAAGACATGTGTATTTTCATTATTTATAATTTTGACAAATAATGGTAAAAATTTGCATTTTTTTCCACTTCCACTTCAATTGTAAGTATTAGCGCTAGAATGTTACAAATTTGTATACTAATTTATTTTTATTTTTTATGATAATGTCTCAAAACAGGTGCCAATTCTTTTGTAACTAGATGTGATTTCAGTTTTAGTTATTCAAAGATATATGTTGGTATATATTAATAAGAAATTTATTTAACAAAACCCCTGAATAAAGGCATTAATTATTTGAGACCCTGATATATGAAATCTGGTAAAATACACAGTAACTTTCCTAGGTACAGAATGTACAGTATATTTGCCATGGCCTGACAACATTGTTTTGAGATATACCAAATATTTGCCATGGCCTGACAACATTGTTATGGGATATACAGTGTATTTGCCATGGCCTGACAACATTGTTATGGGATATACAGTGTATTTGCCATGGCCTGACAACATTGTTATGGGATATACAGTGTATTTGTCATGGCCTGACAACATTGTTATGGGATATACAGTGTATTTGCCATGGCCTGACAACATTGTTATGGGATATACAGTGTATTTGCCATGGCCTGACAATATTGTTATGGGATATATTTGCCACGGCCTGACAACATTGTTATGGGATATACAGTGTATTTACCATGGCCTGACAACATTGTTTGAGGTATACAGTGTATTTGCCATGGCCTGGCAACATTGTTATGAAATATACAGAATATTTGCCATGACCTGACAACATTGTCATGAGATATACAGTGTATTTGCCATGGCCTGACAACATTGTTATGGGTGATACAATATATTTGCCATGGCCTGACAACATTGTTATTGGATATACAGAATATTTACCATGGCCTGACAACATTGTTATGAAATGTGTTAACTTGTTATGTTATTTGTTATGAAATTGTTGTTATTGTAATGAGATTGACTGTAGCCTATTGTTATTATTACATGTTATAAATCGACTACTTTTGAAAAGATACTATAGTTGTGTGTAGATAAAACTGTTAGAATATTGATATAATTACAATAACTGTTTAAGAGGTGGCATATCCTCATATGTTTGCTGACATGTATTTCCATATGTGTTGTACTATTCATCCATATGTGATATAATGTATATCCAAATGTGTGGTACTTTCAACCATATGTGTTGTACTGTACATCCAAATGTTTGGTACTTTACAACCATATGTGTTGTACTGTACATCCTTATGTGTTGTACTATACATCCATATATGATGTACTGTGCATCCATATGTGCTATGATACATCCATATGTGTTGTACTGTACATCCACATGTGTTGTACTGTACATCATTATGTGTTGTGCTATACATCCATATGTGCTGTACTGTACATCCATATATGCTGTGATACATCCTTATGTGTTGTACTGTATATACATATGTGCTGCACTGTATATCCATATGTGTTGCATTGTACATCATTATGTGTTGTACTGTACATCCATATGTGATGTGCTTTACATCCATATGTGGTACTGTACATTCATATGTGCTGTACTGTACATCCATGTGTGCTGTACTGTACATCCAAATGTGTTGTGATACATACATATGTGTTGTACTGTACATACATATGTGTTGGACTGTGCATACATTTAAGTTATACTGTTATCATAATATTTTATCAAAGAAACAATGGAAATGTAGGGAAAAAAATGAGCTGTACTCTATTTGAAAAATCAATAAATAAATATGTTCTAAGTTAGGATAACCAGATGTAATGAAAAGGTAAAATAGACCCTGTATCACTGCATCATAAATCAGGTGTCGTTTTGTGCTGTCATAAAGTAGTATTCTTGTAACAGTTTACTTTTGCTTCTAGCCTACATAAAGGGGAGTGGTCCTGATTAAATCTGGTATTGTAATCATTAAAAAGTAAACTTAAATGTTCTTTAAAAATTTGTAAGAGGGCACCTAAATTTTTACTCAATTTAATGTGCAAGTTGAACTTTCAGAGTTACTAAAAATTTATAACACTTTTCCTGAATGTAAATTATGTTCATAATCCAAGAATTTCCTCTATTATACATTTTTATTATTCAAAAACATTAAATGAAAGGCTTAAATGAAATTTCTTATAGAAATTAGGTCTTTTTGGCATAGTAATAATATATATAGAGATATAACATGATTACACCAGTAGGTGGCGCTTTTTTGTCGTCTGCTTTCAATGAAAAACGATCTCTTGACACTAGAGATTATGATAACGCTGTTATTTTAATGATTTATATTTTTGCTTTATTCTTTTTAGCTCACCTGTCACAAAGTGACAGGGTGAGCTTTTGTGATCGCTTTTCGTCCGGCGTCCGTCCGTCGTCCGTCCGGCCATCCGTCCGTCCGTCCGTCCGTCCGTAAACTTTTACTTTAAATGACATCTGCTCATAAACCGCTCAGTCAATTTAATCCTAACTTAACAGGACTGTTCCTGTGGTAGGCACCTTTCAAAATTGTTCAAAGAATTGAATTCCATGCAGAACTCTGGTTGCCATGGGAATCGAAAGAATAAGCTAAAAAATATCTTCTTTTAAAAAACCCAAACTGTTAGAGCTTAGATATCTGGCAAGAATCATCTTCTAGTGAGTGTCTACCAAGTTTTTTAAAATAAAGCCCAGGGGTCAAAATTGGCCCTGCCCCTAGGGGGGTCATTGATTTCCCTTATGTATATAGTAAAAACTTAAAAAAAACCTTCTTTTAAGAAAACCCAAATAGTTAGAGCTTAGATATTTGGCATGACACTTCTTCAAGAGTGTCTACCAAGTTTGTTGAAATAAAAGCCCTGGGGTCAAAATTGGCCCCGCCCCGGGGGGTCATTGATTTTCCCTATATGCATATAGTAAAAACTTAAAAAATCTACTTTTAAAGAACTCAAAGAGCTATGGCTAAGATATTTAGCATCAAACATGTTCTAATAGGTGTCTACCAAGTTTGTTTAAATAAAAGCCCTGGGGTCAAAATTGGCCCCGCCCCAGGGGGGTCATTGATTTTCCCTATATGCATATAGTAAAAACTTAAAAAATCTTCTTTTAAAGAACCAAAGAGCTAGAGCAAAGATATTTAGCATGAAACATGTTCTAATGGGTGTCTACCAAGTTTCTTCAAATGAAAGCCTTGGGGTCAAAATTGGCCCTGCCCCGGGGGGTCATTGATTTTCCCAATATGCATATAGTAAAAACTTAAAAATCTTTCTTTTAAAGAACCAAAAGAGCTAGAGCTAAGATTTTTAGCATGAAACATGTTCTAATAAGTGTCTACCAAGTTTGTTCAAATAAAAGCCCTGGGGTCAAAATTGGCCCCGCCCCGGGGTCATTGATTTTTCCTATATGCATATAGTAAAAACTTAAGAAATCTTCTTTTAAAGAACCAAAAGAGCTACAGCTAAGATATTTAGCATGAAAACATGTTCTAATGGGTGTCTACCAAGTTTGTTCAAATAAAAGCCCTGGGTCAAAATTAGCCCGGCCCCGGGGGGTCATTGATTTTCCCTATATGCATATAGTAAAAACTTAAAAAATCTTCTTTAAAAAAAACCATAAGAGCTAGAGCTTAGATATTTGGCATGAAAAATCTTCTAGTGAGTGTCTACCAAGTTAGTTCAAATAAAAGCCCTGGGGTCAAAATTGGCCCCACCCCAGGAGGGGTCATTGTTTTTCCCTATATTTGTGTAATAAAAAATTAAAAAATCTTCTTAAAAAAAAACAAAAGAGCTAAACTTACAATGTTTAGCATGAAATATCTTCTAATGGGTGTCTACCAATTTTTTTCAAAGAAAAGCCCTTGGGATAAAATTGGCCCCGCTCTGGGGTCATTGATTTTCCTTATATGTGTATAGTAAAAACTTAAAACATCTTCTTTAAAAAAAACTAAAAAAGCTAGAGTTCAGATACTAAGCATGAAACATCTTTTAGTGAGTCACAGTCTACAAAGTTTGTTCAAATAAAAAGCCCTGGGGTCAAAATTGGCCCCGCCCCAGGGGTCATTGATTTTCTTTATATGTGTATAGCAAAAACTTAAAAAATCTTCTTTGAAAAAACCCAAATAGCTAGAGTTTAGATATTAAGCATGAAACATCTTCTAGTAAGTGTCTACAAAGTTTGTTCAAATAAAAGCCCTTGGGTCAAAACTGGCCCGGCCCCAGGGGTGTCATTGTTTTTAACTATATGTGTATAGTAAAAACTTTAAAAAAATCTTCTTTCAAAAAGCCCAATGAGCTAGAGCTTAGATGTTTAGCATGAAACATCTTCTTATGGGTGTCTACCGAGTTTGTGCAAATAAAAGCCCTTGGGTTAAATTGGCCCTGCAACGTTGGGGGGCCTATATACAGGTGAGCGACCTCAGGGCCATCATGGCCCTCTTGTTTTTTTATTTGATGATTTTGTATTAAATGACTACTCTCTGAAAAATCAAATATTTCATATATTTGTCACATGACAATACAGTCCCTATAATAATTATACTTTGGGATTGTTTATTTACCATTTATGTAAATGTACTAAAGCTTTAATAATAATATTGCATAAATAAAAACCACAATCTACAGTTATAGTGTATTAGCAGTATGCTTGATGGCCGTATGCTTGATGGCCGTATGCTTGATGGCCGTATGCTTGATGGCGGCAACATATTTTCCCATGCGGCCAGTGTAGACAAAGATCAGCTGGTACATTTGTGACATCTGATCATGGTCTGCACTGTTCGCTATTCAGTCCATACATATTTTGATGAAATTTTCCCTAAAACTGATGAATGGTATTGTCTGGATTTAAAGATGGACAAGTCCATTGAAGGTAATTAGTGAGGTTAGGTTTAAATTTTATTTAGAATAATTTATAAATTACTGATTTTTTAAAAAAATATTTTGTGTAACAAATTTTATCATCATGTCACTTTTATATTCAAATATATAAAAACCTAGGTAGCATAATTTTTATATATTGTTTAATTACTCATTACTAACTTATTTACCGAAAATTTTGTCTCTTGATATATACATGTAGTTAATATGTACATGTAGTTAACATATTATTAATTTACATGTATATATATTTATATAATTTTATATATGAGGTCTAACAATTTGTCTCTCTACTTTACAAGATGAATTATTTAGCATGTATCTTTTTTGGTGCGAATCTTTTTTTCTGTGTGTAAATTAGCATAATTAAGTGAATAGGAAAAAATAGACACTCATTAAAATCACCAGAATGATATAACAACAATAGCCAAGTCTTAACTTATGATCTAAGTGTAAACTTAGGACCCTTGTCTTAACTAATGATCAAATTCTAAACTTAGGACCCCAAGTCTTAACTTTTGTCCCAAGTCTTAACCTAGGATCTAAGTTCTAACTTTTGACCCAAGTCTTAACTTTCAAGTCTTAACTTAGGATCTAAGTCTAAACTTATGGCTCAAGTCGCTTAGGACCAAAGACTAAACTTAGGACAAAAGACTAAATTTAGGACTCAAGTTTTAACTTATGATCCAAATCTGTACTAAGGACCAAAGTCTTAACTTATAACTTATTTGTGAATAATGCATATTAAGCATGTTGAATTTGTAAATATGATTTTAGAATGTCCACTATTAACAGAAGAACCGTTGTCTTCAAACTGTGAATAAATACCCTGCCAGCAATATTGATATTTAATTCAGATGAATGTATGACAAAATCTCTCCCGGACAAAAGTCCTCCCATCTAAAAATGACAAAGTGGACAAAATTTAATATCCTATGCCACTGTGTCATTTTAGATGACTTTTGGTCAGTAGAGTTCTTGTCCATTCCCTGTTTAAACAGCACAGATATGCAGCCAAGCCATGTTTCGTAATAATTAAAACACAGGCAAGATATTAATATATTTCTGCTGGTATTGAATTTTTTGTTTGTTTTAAAATCAAGCTACATCTAGCCTAATATTAAATGTATGTTAAGGTAATGACAGTTGAAGATGTTTAAGTATCATATACAATAGTCAAAATTCATCTGTTCCTATATTATATATAGTTTCTTAATATCTTTTGTAACTTTTTAAAGAATCTAAAATAAATAAACGAACATTAGCTCTTTCTAAAACTTAGAGATGAATTCAATGTTCTAGAAGCTTATCGTCATGAATTCAATGTTCTAGAAGCTTATCGTCATGAATTCAATGTTCTAGAACTTAGGGATGAATTCAATGGTCTAGAAGCATATTGTCATGAATATTGTGTGTCATGCTTAAGTATCAAACATATGTGAGTTTATCTCATATGTGATCCATATGTGCACAAAAGTGCATAAAAGTAACCATAAACATACAAGAAGTATTTTCTTCATGTTGATTGTTAAGACATATGACACTCAAAGGAAATAACACACAAGGAAATAACACACAAGGAAATAACACTTAGGAAATAACACTCTTAGGAAATAACACTCAAGAAAATGACACTCAAAGGAAATAAACACTTAAGAAAATAACACTCTTAGGAAATTATAAACACTTAAGGAAATGAAACTCAAAGGAAATAACACTCTATAGGAAATTTGTAGATTTTATATTTATTTCACAAAACTCATTAAAACAGTTTTGTCATAGAAGTAAAAAATAAATTGAATACCTACACAAGTTTACAGTTTTGTTAAAAATGTCAGAATATCCATCAGCTCAACTTAAAACTTTAATGATTGGTCAGGGCTTATTAAATAACTTACAGATTTTTTTTTAAACAATTTTCTGTGTGTAACATAGTTATATGTAAGGCATATTATTTATATATATCAAATAAGTCATGATTTTGAACCAATTTTCATGATTTTTAGCTCTATTCTTTGCTCATTTACTTTTTTGTTTTATAGTGTCGGATATTTTGCAAAATATCACCATTATTGCTTTAAACTGAATGTCACCATTTTCTGTTCAATGTCACTACCCTGTGTTCTGAATGTCATTATTTAAAATGATTCAATACATTTTGTAATGATAGTTATATGATTAAAATGATAAAACACTACTCCAGATAAGTTTATATATATAGTACATCATTCTCATAGAATATTATAGGTATAAAAATCAGAGATTCGGATGATTATTTGGAAATATGGTGGAAGGCCTGTTAACCGTTTTTTCTTTGGAACTACTTTTTTTGTCTCTTGGTTAAGTTTTATTGACAATGTTTGGAGAAAGTGCTTTTTTGTCACAGAACTATTTGTTAGTCACTATCTATATTGTTAAACTCTTTAATAAACATGTCTTAACATGTATGTGTTCTGTTTCATTCCATATTCCCCTTTTTTGTAGCTGGCTGTTATGTATTAAAGGCCCATGTTGTCTCAGAAATTATGTTATTTTGATGTCTCAAAACTTTTATAATGTTGGTGAACTTTTATAGTAGTATCCATAAAGTTACTAACTCACAGGCCAAATACCTGAACTATCTTGTTTATATTTTGCTTTTTTGGCAATAAATACAGTTATAGATATTTAGTATTTTATATGGAAGTCAAAATACTACTTTGTTTAGATTTTGCTACTTTTATGACAAATTATTTCGCTTTAATTTAATTACTTTATTCAGGAAACAAGCACCTAAACTTGCTCTTAAATTTTTATTTAAATGTTATAAAATTCATGTTAGCCCTTTCTAAAGAAGTAAAAATTTATTCATTTCTGAGGCATAATGTGCCTTTTAACCAATATAATTGTGATGTTTGATAAGAAAAGATTACCAAGAAAAGATGGTCATGAAAGGTAATGAAACAGAAGAGGGTGTAACCATTCTTCAGTTTCAAAGGATGCACCCGGTGTAGTAACGGTTCTCCTAGGTTTCTTTAACCAAGATTCTCTTTCAGTTCCGTCATTTCGTTATATATTTCCGATCTAATGTCTTGAAATCAATCGGTAGCCACCCAGTATATAAACTTGTACAAATACTACACAATTATAGTTGAAAGTGTTCGTGAACAAGTGGTTAAGGTCGATGACATCAAACTGCCTGTCACCGATGTGGGTTCCGCGAGGTTTTTCGGATTCTTAAAATTCTTTAATGTGAGAAAACTATCCATAACTTATGTGGTTTTACTCAAGTGCACGTTCGTGCCTTAAATAGTGCACGGAAGGGCACTTGAGGACTTCCTGCGCCAGTAAAGCCGGAAGTGCGACGTAAAAGCCAACCAAAGTAAATAAAATCCAGCCACAGTTGTCTTTTGAATAAGATTTTAATACCAAGGCATTTATATTGGTGCTCTACTCCAAGCATGCAAAAGAATCAGTGCTACCTCTAAAACGAGACAACTTCTGTATTCATGCAATTCCTCCGAGCAAATTAATTAACAGTTATCAGAGAGCATTGTAGATATGGTCAATTAAGTGCAAGAGAAAAATAAAGAAAAAAACGGTGCTAGCTGTTCCAGATTGAAAAAATTGCTACACTAATCTTACGGATTCACATTGTCACGATAGCTGATTCATGTGTCTTCAAAGATAATGATGATGGTTTATAAACATAACTAATTTAAATGTTCTTAAACAGGACTGAAGGTGTCATTGTATTGATTATGGGGAGTTACTGTAGTGACAGAAGTTTTGATTGGCTCGGAATTATATGTTTGTTTAGGTCGTCTGATATGAATCACTACCTCCATGATCATTTGAAAGATTTCAAGAACGCTGAGTAGAGACGCGCCAAGAAATAATCCCATAGCGCCACCTATATCCGATACAAATCGCACTGGCTGAAACAAAAAATAGACATTAAGTAGTGCAGTCATAGTGATGATACCATGTTAAGGACAATGTGAAAAGTATATTAACATTTTTATTTGAAAAGCGTAAATTAATGTTCTTCGCAAAATGACTAACGCTGTAATTGCAAACAAAGTAAAAAAACAGCAACAAACAAAAAACTTGATAATATACATGAACCTAATGCGTTATGAATAAATTCAAAGTAAATGTAGTTAGAATTATTATTCTTATTAAAATATATTGGAATGTATTTCTGACATTCCTTTTTTCAATATTGCAGAGACATTGTAAAACATGTTCGTGTTTTAAGCGCCAACTGAACATTCTCGTGCAATCAGTGCACGATCAGCCGGGCTATACGTGCCGCGGCTAAAATTGTCCGTTCTTGAAAACTTCCCCAAAAGTGATAAACTTTTGGAAAATGGACAAGTCAATTTAAGATAATTGGCGAGGTAAGAGTTAATTAAGTTACTTTCACACTCAAGAATACATAAAATACACCTCTTGTATTACAAGTATTCTTTCACTGCTTGATTGAGATGTATCTGAATGAAAGTTCCTCATTAAATTTAAGACTAACCTACATGAATATCACTCTCTTATATACGAGTAACCTTTTACTTTGTTATATATGCTGTGTCTCTTTATTTTGTTTCTATCTACATTATTTGTACATTGTACACAGATTGTTTGAATAATTTACCTTGTATGCCTCTATCTCAGTTATTTGCTGGTAGTTCAGCTCCTCAAAATATATACGTGCCCGAATAAAATTATAACTGTATCTGTAATTATACATCTAACTGTTTAAAATTTATTATTTTCTAATCAAGTTTTGTCATAATTAGTTATCCAGTCTTAATCAGCTATAAATGATGAAAATGAACAAACTTGTTAGACACATATATATTTAACTTAACGAAATTTGATCAATTAAAATAGTCTAAAGATGTGTAATCAATAATATCTTTGTTTGTTAGCCGTAAGAAATATTAATTTTAAATACAATGTATCATATGTCATCTGAATAAGCCTTTGCCAGACAACAATTGCCCTACAGCATTTGCCAGGCAACATTTGCCAGACAACATTTGCCAGACAACCTTTGCAAGACATCATTTGCCAGACAACATTTGCCAAACAACATTTGCCAGACAGCCTTTGTCATCAGTAGAGATTCTGACCTACAGGCACTATATTGTCGGTTATACATTTTTTGTAATTTGATATTGAATCTTTAAAATGACTGGTCCAAATTCAAAGCAGGGAAAATTCCGTGCAAAAATATGCAAGAATTTATTTGGGCTGATGTCATATATGTTTTGAATTAATTAGTTTATTTTGACCTTCAATCTAAGACTAGGTTGAATGAAAAGATTATCAAATGTAATGCAGGAGTTAAAATTCTCACTTTTCATAATCAAAAGTCTTATTCTTTAACTGAAGACAGGCTTCCTCCATTGACGGCATCTGTCGTCTGCAGACGTCTTCCATTAGCACCTTCTCCTGAAATAGTATTTTGTCGGCATTGTAAAACAATATTATAATATTGTACGTTTGTAACGTCGCTTTTCATTGGATAATCGTGACGTTTATAGTTTTTTATAATACTGCACGTTTGTAACGTCATTTTTCATTGGATAATCGTGACGTTTATATAGTTTTATATACACGGCTGCTACCGATTCATGAAGAAATCTAACTTTTTGTCTCTAAAAATGATGCTTGCTGTATTATAAATTCGTTATAAAGATCGTTGACAGGTTATATGGTCGTATATAAACGGCTGTTTGCAATATAACCCTCGCCTAACGGCTCGGGTTATATTTACAAAAAGCCGTTTATATAGGGCCATATAACCTGCCAACGATCTTTATAACTAATAATATACACGGCTGCTGTCGATTTTTAAAGAAATTTCGCTTTATTCCTCTAAAAATGATACTTGCTGTATTATAAATTCGTTATAAATATTTCTGACAGGTTATATGGCTAATAACTGAAAATTTAACCGAAACGCGGTAGGATTTTTTTATAATTATAATATACATATATGTATCAGTGATCTCGAGTCTTATTTATGCAATAAATAGACATATGTATAAATAAGAAGTAATTTATAGCGATCCTAAAACTCTAGCTAAACTATTCACTTGATGAATATTAAAAATGAGAACATATTCTTGACAATAACAGCATGGGATTCTACTAAAGTGTTCGATTGTGTCTAGGTTCGGACAGTATTCTTCCACTAGGCCAGGACAGCATTCTTCCACTAGGCCAGGACATTATTCATCAACTAGGTAAACTGAGTAATTAAATTATCGACCTTATTTGTGTCCAAATGAATTAAAACAAAACCAAAAAAATATACAAGCATACAAAGAAAATGATACATGTGATACATTCAATAAAAATTGGTCATACTAGGTAGTCCTCATTTGGCCAACGTCTTCCCGATATTGTCTTTTCATAAACTGTTTCCCTGAAAAAACATTTTTTTTTTTGTAGTTCTTATATACATTTATCGAGTGTTCACTCCTGCCTGGAATAATGCAAAAATGGTACTTTAGATCTTCCCCTACTAGTAAAAGCTAGACAGTCGTCATTTGACCTTGACAATGTCGGCATATAGTAAACTAAAATACAGCCTAAAATATATTTATCACTATTCTGAGAAATTAAAAGTCATCATAAAATAATAGCCATGTAATCAATTAGATGAATGGTGTAATTCCCGTAGGAAAAATAAAACATAACGAATTCAAAAAAGCAACGCAATAGTGGATATCGAATATGAATAGATTACGGTTTATAAGCATGAATATATTGATTTTAACTTCACTTTGATGAAACTTTTTTATCCATTCTCACAAAATAACTAGTACTGGTGACGCAAGAAGAGATCGAACCCATCATGCCTGGGTTGAGAGATAGATACGGTATCTCAGATCATTAAAACAAACACAAACCTGCATGGGCTGATACAATCACATACTGACGTCCCAGACTGAAAGTTGAAGTTAACATTTTCCGCGCAGGTATCTTCTGTAACATAAAAATAGTAATAAAATATAAAGTCATCACTTTGCTAAACTGCTAAACCAATCAATTAGTGTTAAGAGTAGACCCAGATGTGTATTATAAACGTGAAACAACAAGTTCTAATAAATACGAACAGTTAATTATCAAATAACATAAATAAGAGCTTTACACATAATATTTGCTAATTTTGATGTTGAAAAAAAATCCAATTAACTAAGTGATAAATTTATCTTGTTTCAATTCTGCAGAGGAATCAATGGCTATCACTATATAATTAACAGTAACATAGTGTGTTTCTCGTGTATTTTATCAAGCTATCTACCATTAAACATTTTGTTGTATACATATCTGACGAAACTTCCTTGTAATGTACATTATATCATTATATTTAAGACATAGAGGATATTGCAAGAGTATAAGTTCAATACTGAATTTATTGAACGAGTTGAATGAAAAAATATTATTCAAACAACGATTTCAATATACATTCAGTAATAAATGTACTCTATCACATACCCAAAATAAAGACTGTTTAAAGTGTAAAAGAATATTCTAACGCAAATGGCGTCACGTCAAAATATATGCACGGCAGTGCACAATTTTTACGGAGTCGCAAAGGCGGCACCGGTACGAGATGAACTGCTAAACAGTAGTTACATACCAGTTTTATTTTGATTGTCACAAACATGTAGCATTTCTTGACTGAAGTGGAGATCCGGTGCATCAAATGGTATACAATTACACTCATCTATCGTCATTTCAACACGACAAAACTCCATGCACGACTTTTCAGCAAATAAAAAAATCATATTAAGTCTTAGCAGCACGACCAAACCATTTAAAAAAGGTATGAGATCTTATATTTATGATTTCACTGGATGAAAATTACAAAAAGTGTACTGTTTGGACCCATCAACACGAAGCCAGGGCCCCAAAAGAAAATATAAAAAAAATCCTGATCAGTATGAAATTTTCTTTGATCATATAAGGCTAAACTAAAAGTTACATATACAAATATAAAATAAAAGGCTAATTTTTTAATTGAAACAATTCATTTCGGGATAAAAATGTAGCAGCAATGATGATACAGTTACAAAAATAAATCAAAATAAGTATCAAATTTAGGATCAAGGTCAATATTTGGATAATTTTTAAACGTGCGTTTTTTTTGTAACGTTATCATGATTTTTCTTTTAAATTTTATGAACTGATGCTACTTAAAGTCAATCTTAAAGATAATCTTGAATATTAAATCTAAGAGAATAAAAGAATGCGAGATTTTGAAATACAAACATTGATCCGATCTTGATCATGTTTCCTTCAATCTTTGTTTAGACGTGGTTTGGCAACATGCTAGTTACATGTACCATTTTCCCGCCCTTTAACATGTGTTATATCTCGTTAGTAATGAAATAATTCCAAAGCCGTATCAGTATGATTTAGTAATTAAAAGATTTGTTATGAAAATGAAAAAAAATGGCTTCATTATGCGCATTTTTGTGAAACTCGAAATAAACGTTCCAAATAATATCATTTACATTCATCACAATCATTAATAGCTTGGTGATAATTTGGTAGTATACTTACAATTCTGCCAGGTTTGGTCAAAAGTTCGTGGATTGCAGCTATAATGATCATACAGTAAAAAATCAACACCAAATGTTTACATTATAAATTGCCCCATGTGGCTAGGGGTTGCCTTTATGGGTTGAGACATAAGAAGATAGTATGACCCTTTGTGATCATAAGACGCGACTAAATAGGTTCGAAATACTGGAATCTATGCATCTCTTAGCTCAAGAAGGTGAGACGATTTTCAAACCTTGTTTTGCTTAAAGTTTGTAACATCCGAGGTTAACCAAAATCATCTTTATTCTGTTGGTGCGCCGTAAAATCAAACCAAACAAACATAATCAATTCTGTAAAAATTACGTCTTGGCAAAATCATAGGTGTTCGGCGCGTTGATTGGTCACTACCCCCAGGCCCCCCTCATCCACTCTACAACCCTTTGCTAAATATAAATGTATCATTTTTTAATTTTTTGTGGGAAATGAAGGTAATTGAATTAAAAGCATTTACCAAATATTTCAAATGAAAAATACTGCAGTTTACATGGTTTTGAGCGGTAAGAGGGTTGTAGAGTGGATGAGGGGGGCCCGGGGGTAGTGACCAATCAACGCGCCGAACACCTATGGGCAAAATAGCCTATGAAGAAAAAAGACAAAACAAAAAACTAAATAATGGTTTCGTTATAGATTTATAGTTTCAATTTGTGTTCTATTTTGATATGTTAATAGATATAATGTCTATACTCTCTATATATGTTAAAAATGTTGACCGCTCATCAGTTCATTCATCGCCGCTCATGCATTCAATTATAGGGAAGACATTAGGGAGCATCGAAACACGAGGCTATCTGATTTGTACGAGGGGGGCGTTTTGTATCATAAAACACGTTCCATGTAGTCACAATATGAACCCCCTCCCCCCCTCCAAAAAAGTAACCAATGGACGACCATCTGAACGTGACATATCAATCGTTATTCCTTTCTCTGTCGTCACAAAAAGTAAACCTCAGAAAAAATGAATACTCTGGAGTGTGCACTAAAGTTTAGAGCATTTTGTGAAAAATGGCGGTTTTTTATTGAAAGTCTCCCGTTACAAGTTCAAATTGATATAAAACTATAAAAACTGCTTTAATACTAATCAAACTTTGCACAAATGTTGACTGGAAGCTCAGTCTTAAATTTCCTGTTAACATGGCAACGAGGGGACATCTCAAAATTGCCAAAAAATTACTATTTTGCATTGATTTTTTCCTTCAAAGGAGTGCAACTTCTCAATGGATTGAGATAGACTCAAAGGCTTTTCAGCGTTGGTTACACCTACCTTATGATGACCTGGGGTCATTTCGAGCCTCTTACAATCCAGATTTTCCTTGGCGATGAAGGGGCCTGCCCCCTTCAAACCCCCCAAACATAAGGGGGTATATCCCCCTTCTGGCACCCCCTGATGTACCTTTTTGACAGGGGGCGGCGCCGAAAAAGTGATCACTTTTTTATTTGGGGCCCAAACAGGACAATTTTTCACTATTTGAGGCCTAAAAGAGGGGGATCGAAAGTGCGTTGTTTCCGCGTATATATGAGGTAAAGGGTTAACAAAAAATGATGAAAATACCTGAAATTACCCACAATCGCGTTTTTCCATGTTAAAACATGGCCTTACATATAATTTTGAAGAAAATTTGTTGTTTTGTAGATTTTTTTTTGATTTTTTTCATTAACGCACTGTGTTTGAATGTATATACGATTTATCTCTGTTATAAAGGTCCCCGAACTATGATACAATAAACTGAAAATGTTAATTTCAATTAACAGAATTCCCTTTGGACTTTATCTGGAGCAATTATTTTGTATTTTATTGCTTTAGTTTAATTGCAAGTTTTGATAATACTGATACGAATAGATAAATTACTAGTATTGACTATTATTCTTTTCTTTAATTCTAAAGGTTTAATTTTTTACTATTTTAGATCTACTCGTAACAAATTATATATGTAACTTCTTGCAACAAAATATATCGTTATGTGTTTTAATAATTAAATGTTTTTTTTGAGTCAGAAGTCGGACTTTTCAACTAAACAAGGCAAGAAACAAATCAATCCAAAATACTACTACTACTTAAAAACAAGTAAATATTTGCACCATGAAGATACATGACACTCAACAAGTACAGTCGAACTTTGTTAACTCGAACTCGGAAGACTGGAGAAAATTTGTTCGAAATATCGGTTGTTCGAGTTAACAGAATTTGTAATTTAAATATCTGTTTGAAATAAACAATGCATACTTACAGCAATACTGTATGAAACATTGTAACGTTTCTTGAAACTGACACCATCTGTACAATCTTTATAAGGCCGACCTAGTCTCGAAATGTTCACCTGAAATTTTATACAATTTTTACAAAACAATTCTAACATGTGACTTAAAACCCGACCTTCACTAAAAATAATTTGTATATGTTTAGTATGTCAAATATAAACATTAAGAAGGATTTTGTACATGTAATAACAGGTCGTTTCAAACGTTAACCATTAGGAAAATTGCACCCTGACATACAATTGCCCCTGACCCTACATAATTCTTATTTGTAATCTGTAATTAAATTCCAAAAACTTAAAATAAATATAAACTCTTCAACTGTTACTGAGCTGACAGGTTAAATCTGTGTAATATTATGATGATAATTGATAATTTACCGTTATAATGTGTGACTTAGATTACTAAATTTGAATTTTGATGGAAAAAAATCCCTTATACAAACTTACTACTCGAAGGCCAATCATTGTTTCGAAGCCTGGACTCAGTGTGAGACCTTCCTCTGCCGGCATTGGAAAGGTTCCCGGCTCATGGAACACCATACGAACACCATAACCGGAAGCAAAGTTTTGAATGTATTCACCTACTTCAAGATTGAGTCTTAATTTGATACCTGAAAGTTTCACGATTAATTTGTTAAATAAGGCTTGAATTCTAAATATTTTGTTTATTTGTTTTTACTTTCACCTTCGATGTAATGAAGAAAATCGGTTGACAAGACTTTTTGGTTTTGTTATTTTTGTTTGATAGCCCTTTAAGCTAATAAGATAGAGCTATTAATCCTGGAATCGTTTGTTCGATCCTCAGGCGAGCCGAAGTTACTCCATGACAGTTAATATCAGATGATTATTCTAATGGTTATTTGTCTCTCGCCACTGATTCGAAAATCATGTAAGACTAGTGGATGAATTGACAATTAATGGTTAGATATCCAGGAAAGCCAGATAAGGTGCACCGATCGCTGAGGTTTGACAAAAATATGTTGAAATCTGCATAAAAAAGCAACCATAAAAAATATACAAATCCAAATTGTTGCTTTGAAAAAACATGATAAAGGTATATGAGCATTACCGTGACTTGGACCACTCCTCCAGGCTGTGTATTTTGGTGAGTCCATCGTAAAACAGTTGCCATAATCAGCAGATGTAAACTCGGTGAAAGATGTCCTACAAGAAAACAAAAATGACAATGCGCAAAATATCTTACATAATCTAAAGGCATTATTTAAACGTTTTGAAAAAAAATAATAGAGAGGAAAAAGAAAGCCAAATGCGCCAAAATTGAAAATGTTGCAGGCTCGATTTGATTCAGAGTATCATTATTGTTCTTTACTTACGTAACGTTTTGATGTCTTCCGGCAAATGAAGCTCGTGATATAAAATCAAGTTTCTGATGTCCCATCTCTTTACGTTGATCTCTGTAATAAAATATTTCAAAATCCATAGAGGATATTCAAGTTTTTTTCTGTAAATATAGGATTTATTTTCATCGATTGGTATGAAAATATATATTTCATGAGTGGCGGTAGCACAAGATGAAAATCAATCCTGTATTTATAGAAAAAAACTTGAATTTTCTGTTTATTATAAACATTTTTCTAAATTTTGACATAACAATTTGAAAAACTTTCTCTTAAATTTTGTGTACTGGCAGAATTTAGAAGAAAGTGATCCGGCAAGACACCAGTGAAAATACGGAAAATGAAAAAACGCATTTTATTAAACCAATAATTCTCAATATTTCATTTATAAGTTTATAACAAAATAATGTATGTGACGAATGTATGAATAAGTCTAAATATTGTAATGTTTTTATAACAAACGCAATATTATTAATGCAATGCTCTCTTATAAATTCATATCATTGCTCTTTTCAGACATAAGCAATGTCACAAAATTTTAAATAGTTTATTAGCATAAATAAGAAAAATGACAACAACAAAATATAAATAAATTTATATGCTCACACAGATTCATTCCTGAATTTAGTCTTAAATGTTCTAGTCACTTCCTCCCATACGTCACGTGGGTCCGCTCTAAGAGCGTTCTCATTTTCATCAAGATTACTGTCAACATCATCGTTGTCATCATCATCATCGTCATCATTATCAAAATAATCCATAAAACACAAAAAGCCACACTCGTAATATTCATAAAACGAAGTACTAGTATCCATCGTCGTGTTCAACTCATCGCCCGCATCTTGCCAGTCAGTAGTGGTTGATTCAGAAACCGATGATGTAGTAGTCGATGTACTTGACGATACGGTTGATTGTGTAGATTTTAAGGCCGAGGTAGATGTAATTAATGATCTCATGATGGGACTGTTTCTACTGGCCGTGCTAGATTGATGTTTTTTATGAGTGCTACTTGATATCGGACGATTTGTGAAACCACTGAAAGCGTCTGAAGTTGTTCTAGAATCTGATGATGATGATCCAGATGGATTTGAAGATGTTGTAAAGTCAACATTTGACGTTACGGCCTAAAATTATACGTTTTGACTGTCATCAGTTTTCAACTTTTTAATCATCCTGGTTTTATTTCTATATATACATGTAAACTATTTTTTACATCAATTGTGAATCGAAAGAGATTGATATGCTTGGAAGTCGATTCATTTTTCTCTTAAGATCATAATGTTTTAGATGCTCTATCGTCAAATCATAGTATAGATTTAAGATTGATATAGGACGAAATACATGAAAGATATTTGAATGGCCATGACACAAGCACGTACATACCACAATGTTCATTAATTAAACGTTACATGATCAATTTTATAAGATTAAATGATTGCATACGGTGTGGGGGAAATGCAGACGAGATAGGTCGAAAGCTGAAATTCTTCTAGTTCTTTACAGGCACGCACTATATACAGGTATATTTAAAGATATATTATTGTGAAATATTGTTGTTTACACAATCTTAATATGATCGATTCTCGTAATGGTTGTAACAAAAAAGTCGCTGTTAGTTAACATACAAGGATTTTGTGCATAAACAGAATAGAATGTTCCGTAACAAACTATTTTTCACCTACACAATCTTTTTAAATTAAATTTTAATTTATTTATCAGAGGTATTTTCTGTTAAGGAAACATATTTCTTTTATCAACAATTATTCTTTGTTAAAAATTCAAACTATATTTTTGTATTTTTGTAAAATTGTATAAATTAAACAAAATATATAGAGGATATTCAAGTTTTTTCTATAAATACATGATTTATTTTCATCGAGTGGTATGAAAATAAATATTTCATGAGTGGCGGTAGCCACGAGTGAAATATGGTAATTTTCATGCCACAAGATGAAATAAATCATGTATTTATAGAAAAAACTTGAATTTTCTGTTTATTATATACATTTTTCTCTTTTTTGCGATAACATTTGAAAGACTTTCCCTTAAATTTTGTGTACTGGCAGAATTTAAAAGAAAGTAGTCCGGCAAGACACCAGTGAAAATACGGAAAATATGTTTCACTGCAGTGAAAAATAAATTTTTACAGTGAAAATACGGAAAATGAAAATACGCATTTTATTTCATCAATATTTCTCAATATTTCATTTATAAATATATAATAAATATCATTATACCTCTTTCTCGTATAAGATATTTTTCAGTACAAGTGATTGACCTATTTGTGACTTCCTTGCAGGATTGAGGTTACAAAATGTCACTGCTGGAAATCTGTGAGAACTGAAGCCTAACGAAACTGTCGTCTGCACGGGGTGTGATTGGAATGTTCTGGAAGAAAAACAAAACCCCGATTCTTTTTGTCAGAAGCAACAGCTTAAGTCTTTTCCAATATCCTAATTTGCTGTTTTTTTTACAATCAAGTGGGTTTAAAGTGAATTGGTATACAATGGGCACACTTTCCATAACTATTTCAAATATTGATAAAAACAATAGAAATGAACAAGTTAGATATTTTTATTAAATATTGCTGAAATAAAAAGGGTAAATACGAGAGAGGTCTTTAGTGATATAGTATGAACATATATATGGTGAATAATAATATTTTGTTGTAGAACAATTTATTATCTGCTATATATCTATATGTCATATGGGTTCATGTATCTAACACTTACCATCAACGTACATATTTATTTCTTTCGTGGTTTGTTTTCATGTATGATATTAAATACTATCAACATAAAAAATATTATAAAGTATTAGAGATCTTCCGTTATGGACCAATTCACTTTAATAGCGAGCTCGACGCTGCTCGCAAAGCGAGCTTTACGGTAACGCGAGTACCTGCTAAGTGATGGTTTTGAAAACTTTCGTCCGAAGTACCGAATTGAACACATCACAACTTTTCGAATTACAAGATACCGATAAAAGCCGATGTACTCTGATTGAAAACGGAAGCGTAGACTGGTGTCCAGCGCACTTATATAGGAACCATAATAGAAAGGAGGAACCAGAATAACGGTAGCAGTGTATAAAATACCGAATGACAATTTTAAAACGGAAAATGTAAATTAAAAATGAACGATTATTTTAAACTATCTTACGGTAAAAGAAAATCGAGCTCGCTTTGAGGCTTTGCCTTTTTCATATTAAAGACAAATGACCCTTGCGATTTTTAATAAATTGAGACAAACATTGATTAGCAGTCATTGACATATAGAGCTTTTACGCCATGTAAGATGTTTAAATATAACAAAATTTCACAAAATTTCACAAGGGAAAATTATGGTCCGCGCAGTCGGGCATAGATCTGTACTGTTGACAACCTAGATTCAATTTTTTATCTCCGAAATTGATATAAGTGAAGCGAGGAATTTAGCGGGTTCAATAATCACTTTTCATATTGAATAAATTAATAAATTTGCTAAGGTTGTTTAGAACTGATTAGTTGTTTGATTAAGCATATCTATGACTTTGTACATACTAGGTCTATGATAAAAATGACCCTTCATAAATCGGATTCTTAAATCACGGTAGGTACAGCATATAAGTATAAAATGATATCCATCCTCGATCTCAAAGCATTGACATTTTTGGCATAATTTTTCCTGTCTCCTACCATATCTACCTGTTTGAATCCTCAGATTATGCTAAGAAATTCTTAAACGCTAATGCTACTCCTTAAATATTTGGATTTGAGTCTGGTTTATATGAATATAAAGAATGTCTAAAACATAATTGTTGTTTAAATCTTCTTGCCATTTTTGTTCAAAAATTTATCCAAAACTCTTTGTTTAAATGTACCAAAAATGCATTTATATTAATGTAATTTGGTTTCAAAAATACATCTGCAAACCATATGTTTCTAATAATATGTCATAAAATAACATTGTATGTCCAATTTTTGACACATTTAAACATTGCTTTAATGAGACTATTACAATCTTCATTATATACTTTATAAGTGAAGAATTACTCTTATTCAATTTCTAATTTCATACTTATTAGAGCTTATTCTCCAGATTGTATACACTGAAACATTTTGTGTTACATTTTATACCAACCGTGACAAAATGTTTTATATGTATGATGTATAACGAGATACAAGTTCAAGAAAAAATTCTTCTTTTCTTCGCCATTAAATAGTAATGTCTATATCAGCGGAAAAGTTACTAAAGCATTAATTATACAGAGTCTTTGTTTCTTTGGTTTTACGTACGGCCCACTAACACAATTAAATCATACAAAAGTCTTTGTTTCTTTGGTCTTACGGCGCACTAACACAATTAAATCATACAAAAGTCTTTGTTTCTTTGGTCTTACGGCGCACTAACACAATTAAATCATACAAAAGTCTTTGTTTCTTTGGTCTTACGGCGCACTAACACAATTAAATCATACAAAAGTCTTTGTTTCTTTGGTCTTACGGCCCACTAACACAATTAAATCATACAAAAGTCTTTGTTTCTTTGGTCTTACGGCCCACTAACACAATTAAATCATATAAAAGTCTTTGTTTCTTTGGTCTTTTACGGCCCACTAACACAATTAAATCATACAAAAGTCTTTGTTTCTTTGGTTTTACGTACGGCCCACTGACACAGTTTAATCATACAAAAGTCTTTGTTTCTTTGGTTTTACGGCGCACTTACACAGTTTAATCATACAAAAGTCTTTGTTTCTTTGGTTTTACGGCGCACCAACACAGTTTAATCATACAAAAGTATTTTTTACTCTCGTTTTACGGCGCACCAACACAGTAAAAGTCGTATCATACAAACTGTATCGTAGTAGAAAGACAAAAGAATGAGAAAAATAAAGTACTTACAAGAAGAGTTCCGACAATTGCCACAACATAACTCCAAATGCTCCCAGTAGGAATAAACACCACAAAAGTTTCACGGGGCGTTGTTTGGAAGAAGCAATTTTCGGTATACCGTGCCAAGAACTTGACTCGGCCAGAGATTTTAGAACTTCCGACACACTTCGATGATGTTTCATGTTTTCTTGTTTCAATATTGAATTTTTTGACTTGAAAATGCATACGTCCTCTTCAAGACAAATTATTGTTTTGAATCTTCTCTCATTTAAAATCAATTGCTGTTTGATTGAATTCCTCTTACAATTAAATGTCAATCAAGGGGAAATGTCCTTCCAATGTTGCTGATATATAGCTGTATACATTAACTGTCATTTACGATCAATTATTTTATATTTTCATCTAATTCCTAATTGCTTTAGAGCTTTGTAACATTGTTGTTTAAAGCTTTTATTTGTTTTATCTAATTTGATTGACTCACAGCGGAATATTATTATTCTATTACTTTTAGTATGGATCAATAATCACTAATTTTTTCACTTGAAATTATTTTCGGATGCATAAATAATCTGATGTAATAATTAGAAATGGACTTGATCATAAAGCAATTATAAATGAGATATAGCAAATTGAATATTAATGAAAAGTCGTAATATCCTGGGAAATGTGTATTTTGCAATATCACACAATATAGGTATCCTTTCAAATAGAGTACCAAAGGGTGCAGTGTTTGTAGTTGTTGTCGTACAGAGAGGTCCTCGGGGATCTCTTTCCTTCTCTTTTCACTGAAGAGTGCTCCAAAATAAGACGAAGGGCTGGATTCGGTTGATGTTGCTTCTTGTCTAATACAGATTCTCATTTATCATATAAATGATAAATGTATTTTTTTTCTTTGATGCTGATAGTAGATTCATTGAACAAACTAATTTATGTCGGCAAGATATACATTTCGATAGAATGGTTATAAGATTTTAACGAACTGCTGTCTCTATTCGTCCGTCTGTTTTTTGTCTGTTTCTCTGTCTGTCACCTGGCTCTCTGTCTGTCTGTCTGTCTGTCTGTCTGTCTTTTCTTGTCTCTACAGCAATTACATTTTAGTTGCTAAAGTTCATTCTGAGATACTTTTAGCCTTGTTGTTGTTATGGTTGCTTTTGTACTGATACTGTTTGTGGCGCCGTTATATGTCGCAACACCGCTAAATGTCGCATTTACCGCTAAATGTCGCACCATTACCGCTAAATGTCGCAACCGCCGCTAAATGTCGCAAAATCATTTGCCGTTAAATGTCGCACGGATTTCCCCTACCGTTAAATGTCGCAAAACTATCGTTAAATGTCGCAAGATGTTGAACTCGAGTTTTATATAAATCAGCGGATCTGTGGATTTTACAGATACAGCGAGTGTTGTATTCTTACGCATTTTACAAAACTTTTTCTTACTAATACTATGTTGTTATTGGTGGTGGTCGTGTTGGCGGTGGTGGCAGCGGCGGCGGCGAAATTAAAACGCTTTTTAAGGC